TCCAATAAATTATCCATAAAGAGACCTAAAACTACAAGAGAGATGAGGCATAGTTACTAAAAACTATCTTTCACCCTTACAGTGTTATACAGACATCCATGAAAAATAGCCTTTGCCTAACAACTATCCCGTGTTGATAGTGCAGTTGCAAACTAAAAACAAATGTCTAAGGGTACATGAAATTTTGGATTTTAAACTGGCTTTTCTGTGATTAGACAAAACCCCAAGGTTACTTTTTTCTCAATTTCCTGAAAATTTAATAGCAGCAAAGCTATATGTTTCGTGAAGCAATTTAGGCTATGTTTGGTAAAACTAGCTTATCATAAGCTAGTTGATAGCTTATAAGTGATTTTCGAGCTTATAGTTTATGACTTATAGCTGAAAAACTAGCTTAAATGATAAGTGTTTGGTAAAATTAGTTGAAATAAAATTTCAACGAGCTTATTTGAAAAGCTACCCAAAAAGCATATGAGATAAGCTCGAGCTTTTTAAAGAAGTTTGTCCTACCAAACGAAACTCATTTGAAAGCTCATTTGAATATAAGAAGCTTATAAACTAACCAAATAAGCTATAAGCTATTTATTTGGTTACCAAACATAACCTTACTCAAGAAGACAAGCATTACACGGAGTGGACAAAACAAAATTGAGGTGGGTATGTTAGATCGGCACCTTAGTTTTACGCTCTTCCCCTTTAAATATGATGCGAACATACGGGTTAGTGTGATGTTTCCCTTCAACATCTTGAGCTTCATGCACAATTACGACCAATACACCTCCACCGGCTGGGGTGCCCTCGGGAGCCTTTTGTACCTCGCCTGAATTTTCAAAATCCTTCGGAATATCCTCCTCTTTAAAGGGCTTATATGTCAACTCTAGCTCAATCTGCCCGCGCATTTTGTCATTTTGGACGTCGTTCGGGTCCATGTTTTTAAGAAGATCCAATGTCATATGTTTTGGTTCATCGGGTGGAAGCTCCTTGAGAGGGACTACATTCGTACCCATCTTGTCATGTTTGCCAACCTAAATGGAAATGTGAGAACACCAATAAAACACCATAGTATTATCATGAACATTCTTCTAATCTGCACCTGGATATAATAAATTTAACAGTTTCCTGCTTGTTCCTTGTATTTAGTTGGCATTTTTATGAACTCTATAATTGTTACAGAAACATTTGGCAATTAAGGAAATTTATTCTGCATTTTTCCATTACAATTAAGGTAACTTATTTCTCACAGAATGATAAAGTAAGTACACTTTAAAAGATAACTGGATATTCATACCTGCTCCCAGTCATAAACATTAAGTTCTAAAGCTTGTGTCTCAGGATCTTTAACAACAATGCTGAATTCTTCATTCCACTCAGGGTTCAAATTCTTGTGCTTCACTGTGGTCTTCTTTGATGGAGCCTTTGTTTCGGTGAGCTTTAGCTTCACATAAGGATCTGATGCGCCTAACAGATCTTTCTTCCTTAGCTTATGGGCCCGCAGAACCTTTACGTGGAGGATCCCAACTGGCTTCTTCATAGCTCTGAAGGTTTTAAAGTTGGTCAGCACACATGTACAAAAGACCACCCAGTAGCTAAGGCTGATATACAATCTGTACATATGAAAAACATACTTTGTGGGATCCAAAATTTGCACTTCAAGCGTTTTAGGCCACAGGTACATGTTAGCAACTTGATCTTTAATGAGCTCCTGCATGTAGTTTTTTCCTCTCAGACCCACAAATTAAGGGAGGGGTTTCATTGGAATGGTTAGAAAAAAGTTACAAAAAGATATGAGAAGAATAAAACATATATCGAAAATACTAAATCACAGTACAAACAAACATTAGGTGTTAAGAAATGAAGAGGTATACCTGCACAAACCGGTACAGGCCAGGAACCGACATGAGATCAGCACCCCCAAGCCTTAATCCGAAGTCAACATGCGGCTGGCGGGGCAAAATAACGAGGTCAGCTTAGACAATAGAATGTCTTTAGAAAGAACTTGATGCATGCATGTGAATATTTGAGCAAATAAGTGCATAAAATCACCTCAATTTATAGCGAGTAAATCAAAGAGCATCGCATGGAATATTTTACTTCTCTTAAACATTTGAAAACTACGGATAGGTATATGAAAGAATTTAGCAGCCACTGACAAGAAGTTTTAAGCCTCGAAAATTTAGAGAAGTTAACCAGCTCTTGGTGTTCTAATTCTCCCAATTTAGATTCAAAATGAGGAAAATAAAATATAAAGAGAAATGGGGAAGGGCAGAAAACAAAAGAAGCATTAGCAACCTTCTCCATAAGAGACACAAAGATTGTGGCAAAACAAGGAAAACTGGGAACAAGTGGCTTTAGGGTGATACGTGGTAGAGCAAAGACCTGCAAATCGACAACCTGCAACATACAAACAACTTCTGTGTCATGTATGTAATTTATTATATCTGTCGTTAGTAACTTATTCGCAGGCTTAACTCAATGTAATTATCCATACATAGCATAAATGATAAAATGTTAAAGATTGAAAGGGCCAACAACCTGAACTGTTGCTTTCAGTCCATATGCTCTCACAGCAACTGTGACATTAGGATTCCCTGCCCATTTCAAGGCAGGCTCCATAATCAACTCCTTCTCCTCAGTGAGGTAGACCTTCATGCCTTCCATGGATGTTAGACAAGTTCAGTTGTGACATCTTTTGCCACACTAAAATATTACTTTAAACTGAACTAGTGCATCAGAAGAAACACTTGAGCACTTCACAAACCTTGAAAGGTCGGTGGTAGAGATCCCAGTGTTAGGGCTTCGAACTCGACAGATTCAATTTTATATTTGGGTATTTGCTCATCAATAATAGGAGTAGCAATGTTTTTAGCAGTCTTGCAAATTGCCTACAAGAACGATCAAGGCATCTCATACAAGTATCGAGATAACCAAGTGCCAAGTTCTGGATGAACATCAATACCTTGTCGAGGTAAGGCCACATAATCGCCAGAAACTTGTTGAGCCAGTCCATCTATAAACATTACCATCAAACAACTATCCATAACACATATGGAATGCTTTGTCAGTTAACAAGTGACGATTAATGACCAAACTTACACGATCATAATCTGGATTCTTCACCCAGAAAGGTATTTCAGGAAGCAATTGCTGCAAACTTTTAGAGTCTTGCTCAGCCAAAGGGCGAATATCTGGGTCCTGATAAAGAATCATAAAGTTAGAAAGAAAATAATATGTTTGAGACAGATATTAACTTGTATACGACCCCTCTTCCACACGCTATGACATTAATCCATTTGAAAAAAAACCAGAACACAAAAGCAATGCCAAATGATCAATCCAAGCATAGTTAGACTAGAGGCTAGGGAAAATAGTAGCTAAGTTAGTAGCTAGTGCTGCAGGTATTAGGAAGTATTGGATAAGTGTTCGCTCTAACTCAGAAAAACTAACATCAAGACAGTCACCATTGAGAAACCCAGCCGTGATACAACAATCCCATTTATTCCTATCTTGATCCAGGTCTAAAAAGCAGGGTAGTTCAGATTAACTCCGTCCGTGCATCTTTTCTTTTCTTTTTCGACTCCTAAGACATGCATACATTTTCATTAAATCGAATTGAAGTATTATATAAGCTACTCATAAGTCCATTTCAAGTAAACAACAGAAATACAGAATGTTCTATTGCTTCTTCTTAAACCATCGATCACTCGCCAACATCAGATTAGAAAAACGATACAATCGTTAAACATACAACCAACGAAGGGCACAAAACACTCGATATCGGCAGCCATTTGATTCAAATTTGTGAAACATTTCGAATGCGTCGACATGGAATCCCACACATATACGACAAGCAGTCCGCAAGCCAAAAGGGTATCTCCAGTTTCTTTCTACTCGGTCTACTTCAAAACCTCCGATACAAATCTAACAGGTAAACTACTGCAACTTCCCCACATGAACATCAGCTCATCATCTTTACAGCTCAACGCAGTAAACAACAATACCATAAACACGCACACCAGCTAAATCCTAAATCCAACAAACATTTACTTACGACAAAAAAATCACCTGAAAAAAATGAAAAGTACCATGTATATGATCTAGATCAAGTACCTTAACATCGCTGGGCTGGAAATATATGAACAGGTAATATCCAACCACGATTCCAGAAGAAACCCCAACTCCAAATCCGCAAAACCCCAATATCGTGCTGATAAAACCCATCTGCAAATCAACTGCTTCTCGTAGAAAATTCAAACGATTGAATGCAAACTATGGAATCAAAGCTTAAAACTCGACTACAAAAACCTCCAAATCCTTCGTTTTTCAGTCGCACTGTTCAATCCAGTTTCTTCCACATTCAAATGCGAGACAAGATGTAATAATAATAATAATAATAATAATAATAATAATAATAATAATAATAATAAAAATAAAAAAGGAAAAGTATGAGTAAAAATTTGTGAAAAGATTCAACTACCCTTGTGTCGGCCGTGACGTGCAGTTATTTTAACGTGGATTTTTTGCCCTTCGATGTAATTTCGCGTTGGGTATCATATGAGTTACCACGTTGCGTTTTTTGAGGGACGTGCAAAAAGCGAGAATAATGACTTTTCCCAGGCCGAAGCAAAGTGTATATGATTTATGGGCTGGGCTCGGCCCATAACTTATTATCGGCCGATTTTTGTTGCGGTTCAAATGAGATGTTGACGTGGTGCCTGGCGGGAAAAGGACATCTGTGGCTTTTCTATTCGGGAAATTTTTATTTATCCTACCAGATTTAGATTTATTGCAATTTTGCAGTTACTATAAGTTTAATTACATACGTATTTAAAATTATTGAATTAATTAAAGATTTATTTGATTTCAGTTACCATACAAAAAAAGTTGACTCGTAAGAGAGATAAATGAAAATAAGTAACTTACTCATTTAATTCCTTAATTCACGCAACTGGAATTCCTTAATTCACGCAAATGTCAGGTGGTTTATATTGCGTTTATGTTAGTATATATTCAGTACATGTGCGCTTCTTAATTCACGCAGTTGACAGGAGGTATGTATTGTGTTTATGTTAGTATATATTCAGTATATATTGCAGTTAGTTTTGCTAAATATAAATTGATTTTATACATAAGTTTCGCGATAAATTTCTTTATCATACACCGAAAATATACTGAATAAAAACCATATATATAAAAAAAAGTTTATGCTTTGTCAAATTCGTTTTCTAACAAAAAAATATTCTAATATACCCAAAATAAACTATAAATTAAAAAAAAAAGAAAAAAAAACAAACAAACAAACAAACATCAATTTGGCAAATAAATTTAAATCTTGCAGGATAAATGAAAATTTTCCAATTATATAATCACTGCTACAACAATGTGTGGCCTTATGAATTCCAACTCAAAATGTTAAATGATAATAATGACACAACAAGAATTCTAGAACAATTTGAAATATCCCCTTGCAGATTAGAAAATTATGTCTGCAGGGACTATAAAAATTAATGCTACAAATACAAAGAATCAAATTATGACCACTTGCCCCAAAACTCCAGTATCAAACTTGTTATATCTCACTGGAATATGAACAAACCCATCAATCATGCAACTCAAAATACACTAACAATACTAGAGTACAATAAATTTTTTAAATAACTCAAGTCTCAGTATGTAACTATAAAAGAATTCAAGAATTCAGAATAGCCTAAGATCTGTGCAGTGGCGCGATTCGCGCAGCAGGTCCTCTTCCCGGTGGTTTCCCGTGCCGACGAAAGTGACTATGGCATCGGAGAGGAAGCGGCGAAGCACGGCTGGGCTTGCGTCAGTGGTTGACACAACTATAAAGTGGGCGGGTCGTATGGGCGGTCGGGCCGACACCATTGAATCTCTCTTTCGTGCAGTTTCTCTATCTGTTCCAAATCGTTTTCTCCGATTGGGGCTGGGTTAATTTTGGGGATCTATAAATATTATTTATCCCTTCCATATTTCAAAGATGTAATTAACAAAATTAAAATATGATATGTGAAAATAAGTAGGGTGAATTTAGTATATTTGGAAATAAATATTTATTAAGTATATAAATGTAATATAAAGTGCATTGATTGATATGTAATGTAAATTCCTCTTTCTATTGTGATGTCGTTCTTAATTGGTATCTATATTATATATTCTATATTCTATACTATATAATGGATCAATCTATTTTACTTTATCTATCACAAATTTTCCCGTCAAAATATTTCAGCCAATTTTGACAATTTTTGTTAGGCATTAGTTTATTAAATAAAACTGAAATTGATTACTTCATTAAGAAATTTGAGAAGATTTAAAACAACTATAGAATTAAATTTTAGTGTCAGTAAATTGGAACTTTCAAATATATTTTAGTGCAAAGTTGTGGCTCTGCACAACACAGTTAGTCCAATTTTGGTTGATAGACAAAAGACTAAAGTAAACATGCAGACAATTTTAAACTTTATATAATATATATGTGTTAAACTTTTACAATTATCAATATTAGAATCTTTCCATTATTAAATACCAAAATTACGCTACTAATCAGTTATGAAAAATATTTAATAAGATATTAACACCTCATCATTTATATATTTATATCCATGTCTTACCGAATAAATTAATTGAGTATTGATCAGTACTGGTTTTAGAACATTTTATTGTTGGTTTATTTGGTTTTTTATTTGTTCTTTTATTTTCATGTATTATAATATATGTTTAATTATGTATTTCGCACGAATACATAGCCTTTCAATGCATTTCATGTTGAGTTGGGTACACACACAACACGTGGACACTAACGTAATTACTTTATTATATTAACAAAGTAATTACACAAACACAATATAGACCAAAATAAAATATTTCACTTACTAACACCAAAACACACACTAAGTATTTTATTATAATACACACCCCACTCTCTCAATAAAATTCTCACGCACTCACACCATACAAACACACACCTCTCTCATTTTTTTATTGGGGGTGTCTATATGTACACCCCCTTGTGTGTAAAAAAGGGGTGTACATATAGCATTGCCCTTTGTGTAATTTATTAAAAAGGGGTGTACATATAGCATTGCCCTTTTTATTTTGCTCACTCAATACAAATTAATTTATTTTATTATCTAACTACTCTCACCACTCAAAACTCACACATTGGACACATACCCCCATTACAACTTTCATGCCTATTTATAGTACAATAAAGTCGGTGGACTAACCGACATAAAATTTCTTCACAACTCTAGAACCATCACATTACTCCTAATATTAATTTAATATTCAAGTATCTAAAATATCTATGCATCTTCCTATTTGTTTAATCCACCTAGAAGCTTCCTTGTGAGTAGGTGTTGATATTTAACACTCCCCCTCAACACCGACTTCTACCCGTTCGTTGTTCTCGGCCACCTTACGTCAAGAAACGGATCTTCACATAATTTAAACCCTGTAAATATTTTTCTCGTGTGTTTTAGTCTTGATACTCGTACTCTCGCTGATCTATGGGCTTGTGAGTTCTTGACACTTGTTTGATCTTCTACTCCTATCCAATGCTTGTTGACTTGCCCGTGACTTATTGTTAGCTCGTCTTCAAGTCTATCTTTCTTAACCGATTCCTTCTCACCTGTGTCAAAGATTGACAGCATCAAGTTGTCAATTGTCACCATACGATCTTCACTATACTCAATTGAATTTGGTAACTCCTTCATGTCTTCTGCTTCGTCACTTGAACTTCCAGAGATATCTATCCACTCATCACCTGAGTCGACAAGCTCAGCCACCGTTGTCGTTAAAGCCATCTCGACTTCTTCACAAACTTCTTCTTCAATTACGGCTGACAGTGCTTCAATGTTCCGCTCGTCTTCACTTTTATGTGCCTCATCCGACATGATTGCATTTCCTTCTGCTGGCTTCTTCTTCGACCAACAATTCCTTGCTATGTGACCTTTCTTTCCACAGTTATAACATTTCCCTTCAAATCTTCTACTTTCTTGAGGTTGATCGCTCAAATTCTCTTCCTTTGTGCTCCCCGTAAATGAGCACTTCTCTCGTCTTCATCTTTGTCGACATCGTTTCTTTTCCTCCAATGGAAATTTTTACTGTGTCGACCTCTGATATTCTTTACGAAAAGTAATTCTTCATCATTCTTGGATGAGGCTTGGAATATTTGCTTAGCTAACGCTTCTTGGTCAGCTAGCAAATTTTCCAACTCTACAAGAGAAGGTTGGGTCGACCAACCTTGCATAGCAGCAATAAAACTTCTATATTCTTGCCTCAATTCGTGAATGATTATTCTCCTTATCCGTGAATCCGACATACCAGCAGAAGAATCTAAATTAGAGATTTCACGACAAAGAGACTTTACCTTAGCAAAATACTGGTTTATCGTCATGTCTCGTTGCGTGATAGATAGAAGCTCGTTCTCCAAAAGTTGCAATCTCGCATCGTTCCTCTTTGAGAACAACCCCGCGAATGTGTCCCATGCGTCCTTCGGTGTCTTTGCGTCTCTAATGTGCTCCAGCATCTCCTCCTCGATCGTGGTCTTGATAGCGAACATGGCCTTGCCAGCTTTAACCTTCCATTTCTTCAAACTTGCAGAGTCCTCCGGTGGTGTAACCTCACTACCACTCACAATCTCCCACAAATCTTGGCCTTGTAAATATGACTCCATGTACGTCGACCACGTGTTGTAATTTTGACTATTAAGCTTCTTGATACCTCCGACCACTTGAAGGTCTGTCATCGTGGCTCCACTCAATCAACTCGCCACACACTCTGCAGTACTAAACTGCACACGAACTTCGCAGTACGAAACTGCAAAACTACACCAAAGAAGCTTGACACAATAACTCGTACCTCAACTAACGCCAGACTTAACTCACCTGGCTCTGATACCACTTGTTGAGTTGGGTACACACACAACACGTGGACACTAACGTAATTACTTTATTATATTAACAAAGTAATTACACAAACACAATATAGACCAAAATAAAATATTTCACTTACTAACACCAAAACACACACTAAGTATTTTATTATAATACACACCCCACTCTCTCAATAAAATTCTCACGCACTCACACCATACAAACACACACCTCTCTCATTTTTTTATTTTGCTCACTCAATACAAATTAATTTATTTTATTATCTATCTACTCTCACCACTCAAAACTCACTCATTGGACACATACCCCTATTACAACTTTCATGCCTATTTATAGTACAATAAAGTCGGTGGACTAACCGACATAAAATTTATTCACAACTCTAGAACCATCACATTACTCCTAATATTAATTTAATATTCAAGTATCTAAAATATCTATGCATCTTCCTATTTGTTTAATCCACCTAGAAGCTTCCTTGTGAGTAGGTGTTGATATTTAACATTTCACATTCGTTGGGGTCCTGCCATTCTGTACACATGCAACCACCGAGGACTCATAGATGAGGGCTTTATGTATTTCGAACGAATGTCAATAAAAGTAAAAATGTCCCAAGAGTCGAGCACTACGGATGAATAGTCGACCTGATGGGTGAATTCGTTTGCCGACATTTTCTGACCGGCGAACCGCACACAAATCGCTGCAATCCACGACCGAACAACGACCTTTCATTCGTCTGCCACTCGATCCATAGTCGAAAGATAAAGACCCTACCGGATGTCGTGCCTTTACAAGTCGTCCGCCAGTCACAAACAACATTGGCTGTCCGGTTGTCGTCGCTCGTGGCAAAGTCCACCTTCACACAAGGCTTGATTAGCTCACTCCGCACTGCTGAAATCCGTCGGTCATCCACCACTCACGGTGGGAGTTGCCGCCTCCCAGTTTAATGTTGGGTGTGAAGGTATAAAAGAAATTGGTGAGTTTAGTGTCTACAACCTTGAGAAGAAGATGAGAAATTAAAAAAGAATAATAATAATAATAAGAAGAAGAAGAAGAATAAGCGAGGGGGAGGGGGGTGACAGGAAGAAAGAAGGAGAAAAATTGTGAGACGAGGGGAGAAAAAGGGAGAGTGAAAAATAAATGAAAATCAATTTAAATTATTAATGTCTTTAATTTACTCTAATCAATTATTTTGAGAACATATTATTACCAAAATAAAATTAGCGTAATTTGGTACTTATCTATATCTATCTATATATATATAAAGAATTACTATTTACTAAAAATAGTAATCCAAAAATTTAGTAAAGCATTTATTATATACTATTTTAAGATTTTTTTTTAAATTATTTAGAAATTAATTTGAATCTTATCCAAATTATTTAGGAAAGAAGTGCATTTCATACATGAATCCTATAAATTAGGGATCTTTAATAAGTGACGGATAAATCATTAGTAAATCTATTTTTTTGGATTTATTATAAATCTTTTAAAGAATTATAATAATGGAATGGACATATATATATATAATTAATATTTACTTAAAATAGTAATCCAAAAAATTAGGAAAGCATTTATTACATTCTATTTTAAGATTTTTTTTTTTTAAAAAAAATATTAAAGAATTAATTTGAAGTTTATCCAAATTATTTAGGAATATGTTACAAAAAAAAAACGTGCCAGATTGGTTATAAAATTTGAGATTTGAATGGGTTACACCAATCAAATTCATTCCAAAATCTGTTCACCATTTATGCTTTATCAAACTCATTTTATTTTGATTCATTTTTCAATCAATTGAAAAATCGTGCAATCTTTTCAATAGTTGAATTTTATTTTTTTACTATTTGTTAAGTAAATTCGTTTTAATTTTTTTTTTTTTAAAGAAAATATTGATCTTTCCCTATGATTGATCAACCTTTTCAAAAATGATCTTTCCTTAAATTTGTGGATTATTTTTTCTATTTCTTAACTAAAATTACCAATATTTTCTATTAAATATATATATATATATCTATCTATATATATATATATAAACAGATTTACTATTTTTCAAGAATAGCAAGTCAAATTTCTGGTCAAATTCGGACACATTAATTAGTTACTATTGTTAATACCCAATTTTGGCCTCGCCTATTAAAATATTACACGTGGATATATATTATATCAACAGTTTATTTTATTTTATGGCCCAAAAATAATACCGCTTGTAATAATAACGGGCCCACCAAAAATATATATATACCCCTATGATGGACGTCATAGAGATAGGTCTGAGGGGCGATTACTACTTTTTCTCTTCTGAAACCTCATTTTA